GCGACGTGGACATCGACCCCAGCTCCGCCACGGCCGTGCTTGGCCCTGCCCGACGAGCCACGTACGTCACCCCTGCCCCACGCACTGAGGCATCCTGGAAAGTCGGGAGGGGGTTGTTGCCAGAGTCACAGAGAAGCAGGTAGTGGACGCCGAGGTCCCTGAGGGCCAGCTGTGGTCACAGGCCTTGGAGGAGGAATGGGTGGGAAACTTCTGTCTGCAGATGTGGGGACTGGTCCACCCTGGGAGCCTTAAATGCCAAGGCCACAGAGAGAGGTTGGCGCTAAGGAGTCGACTGCTCCTCCATGGGGTGCCCCAAACTCAGGTCCTAGCAAGGTCTCTGTCCACAGCCCAGAGCCTGGCGACGAGGGAGAGCCGGGGCGGTCAGGACTGGAGCTGGAGCCAGAGGAGCCCCCTGGCTGGCGGGAGCTCGTCCCTCCGGACACCCTGCTCAGCCTGCCCAAGAGCCAGGTGAAGCGGCAGGAGGTCATCAGTGGTGAGTGCCCCCACGCCCCACTGTGGCCAAGGACACAGTCCAGCTCCGGCAGAGACAGACACATGGAGATGTCCTTTCTGGTGTTGATTTACCCTAGAGAGCTTCTGAGGGCACCTTGTTTCCGGCAGAAGACACTTGGTTACGTAAATAGCAGAACAGCCGCAAGGTGGAGCATGAATGCAGCTGTCAAAGTGACATTTCCAAGGGGTCTGCAGCAGGGCAAACAATGCTGATGCTAAGAGCCGGAAGTGGGGCTGGGAAGAGTAGTCGAGTGCTGGCCTAGCAGGTGCAGGACTCCGGGTTCTATCCTCAGCACTGCAAAAAAAAAAAAAAGCTAGAAACACGATATAAAAATTGCATTTCTAGGGCCAGGGGGATTTAGCTCAGTGGTTTTGCCATCTGCCTCCTCGCAAGCACAAGTTCCTCAGTTCGATCCTTGGTACAGAAAACAAAATAAAACCACCAACAAAAATTGCATTTCTAAATTGGGCGTGTTGTTGGATGACTGTAATCCTAGCACTTGGGAGGCTGAAGCAGGAAGAGCATGAGTTAGAGGGCAGCCTGGGCCACAGAAGACTTAAGACCCTGTTTGAAAAGTTAAGAATGTATTTCTTCCCAGGTGCAATAGTGCAAACCCATAATCCCAGCACTCAGGAGGCTGAGGCAGGAGAATTGCCATGAGTCAGAGGCCAGTTTGGGCAACATAGTTCAAGGCCAGTTGAACTACATAGTTGAGACCCTATCTCAAAAATACCTAAATAAGCTGGGCGTGGTGGCACATGCCTGTATTCCCAGCACTCAGAAGGCTGAGGCAGGAGGATCACTGTGAGTTCGAGACCAGCCTGGGCTACATAGTGAGTTCCAGGTCAGTCTCAAGTACATAGTAAGACCCTGTCTCAAAAAACCAAAACAAAAAACAAATAAACAAATGAAAGCTTGTTATGAAGATATGATCATCTTTCTGAAGTGCTCACCAAACTGTGGGCCTTTTACTGGGATTGTTATTAGTGTGGTCTCACTGCTTTAGGGAACACGAGTTCTCAGAGGGCAAAGTTTGGAGAAATAATCAGTATTTTATCAGGGCCTGCTTCTGGTGAAGAGATGATGGGCACATAATTTTCAGGTTGATTTTGTTTTTTCCCCTGTGCCTCCTAATTGTAAAGGAGTGATGACGAAGGTAGTAAAGTCTTGGAAGCTTGTTTGAAAGTTCATTTACAGGTTACTCAGTAGTACAATATGTGCTCATTCAGAATTTTGGTTGCTGAGTGTGGTGGCGCACACCTGTGATAGCAGCACTCAGGAGACTGAGGCAGGAGAATCACCGCAAGTTCAAGGCCAGCCCAGGCTACTACTCAGTGAGACCTGTCTCCAAAAAAAAGAAAATTGGGCAAGCACTGGCTGGGCAGTGGCAGACCACTTGCCTAGCATGCATTCCATCCCATCACTGCAAAAAAGAAAGAAAGAAAAAGAAAAGTGAAGATAGAATTTTTAGGGCAGTAAGTAAATACTTTTGGGCCACCATTTTTTTTTCTGTTTGGTTTTGTTGTTGTTGTTGTTGTTGTTTGTTTGGGGTTTTTTTGTACCAGGAATCAAAATCAGGACGTTGTGCTTTCAAGGCAGGCAGCAGCACTACTGAGCTAAATCCCTGGCTCTGTTTTTTTGTTTGGTTGGTTGGTTGGTTTTTGGGGTTTTTGTTTTTTGAGACAGTCCAGGCTGGTCTTGGATTCAAGATCCTCCTGCCTCCATCTCCAAGTGCTGGGATGAAAGGCGTGCACCACCACACCCAGCTCATTTATTACTGAATGTTCTATGATAAGCAAACCCGAACTACTGGTCACCCTAGCTGACTGCCAGGGCCAAAGGGAAAGGCAGGGGTCTAGGAATCCTCAGTAGCTATTTAAGGGGTAAATGACCCTGCCCAGAGAGAGTAAGTCCCCCTGCAACTTCTAGGAGAGTTCGTCACCTCCTTGGGCTCTGTCTCCCCCTCCCCCATTCTCCCAGCCCACCTCTGAGGCTGACCCTCCCCAGTGATGCTCCCTGCTTTGGGCCCCCACAGAGCTGCTGGTGACAGAGGCGGCCCACGTGCGCATGCTGCGGGTGCTGCACGACCTCTTCTACCAGCCCATCGCAGAAGGAGGTTTCTTCCTCCTAGAGGAGCTGCAGAACATCTTCCCCAGCCTGGACGAGCTCATCGAGGTGCACTGTGAGTGCCCGGCCGCAGCCCCTCCACACCCCACTGCTGTCTCCCTCCTCTGAGGTTGCCCTTGCACCAGAGTCTAGCCTGTCCTCCTTGAGCGTCCCCCACAAGCAGCATCTGTCCAGCAATGGGGACCACCCATCCTGGACCCCCGAGCTCATTCCCTAGCGGGGCCAACCCACTGTCCAAGCACAGGAGGGCTGGGAGACAAACTTCAGCCCCAAGACTGGAGACAGCCACCTGCAGCCTGGCCCCACCGGCTCCCACCTCAGTGCCACCATCTTCCAGGCCCTGACAGCTCACCCCCTCTCCTCACTGACCCCACAGCCCTATTCCTGGATCGTCTGATGAAGCGGAGACAGGAAAGTGGCTACCTCATTGAGGAGATTGGAGATGTACTGCTGGCCCGGGTGAGGGTGCCCTGCCCAGCCCCTCCCCGCCCCCAGCCTGGCACCTTCCCCTCAGGTCCCAGGGGCCCTGCTTGAGGGTTCCATCCCCGCTGAGATTCTGTTCTTGCCAGTCCCATCTGAGACCTTCCCTGGCCTGAATCTTGCTATAGTTTGATGGTGCTGAGGGCTCCTGGTTCCAGAAAATCTCCTCCCGCTTCTGCAGCCGCCAGTCATTTGCCTTAGAGCAGCTCAAAGCCAAACAGCGGAAGGACCCTCGCTTCTGTGCCTTTGTGCAGGTGAGGTGGGGCCTTGGCTCCCGGGTCCCGGGGGAGGAGGGAGTGAGGCTGGATTTCGGGGTCCCACTCCTGCACTGTTTTCCGTTAGGAAGCTGAGAGCCGCCCGCGGTGCCGCCGCCTGCAGCTGAAGGACATGATTCCCACTGAGATGCAGCGGCTGACCAAGTACCCCTTGCTGCTACAGAGCATCGGGCAGAACACAGGTACCACAGCTGCCCCACACTCTGGCCTCAGCTGCCCTTTCTTAACCATGGCCAAGAGGCGGGAGCTTTCAGGGTTGGAGTTTGCTGGAGCTGCTTGGTCTCTCCCTTGTCTGCAGAAGAGCCCAAGGAGCGAGAGAAAGTGGAACAGGCGGCTGAGTGCTGCCGGCTGATCCTACACCACGTCAACCAAGCCGTGCGTGACACGGAGGACCTGCTGGTGAGCGGCTCAGGGTGGGCGTTGGGCGTGAGCCGGGGCCAGGCCCGGCCCATCCTTACCTTAGCCACCGAGTGTCCTGGGGTCTCCCAACCCGCAGCAGCTCCCTTTCAAGGTCACTGGAGGTCAGGCCTGGCCTCGCCTTGTCCCTCAGAAGGTGGCCTTGGCTCTCAACTTCCCCAGCCTGGGGTACGCAGGGGTCAGCCCCAGAGCTTGGCTTGTCCCTTTAACATTCCCGTCTCTGCCCCAGCGGCTCAGGGATTACCAGCGGCGCCTGGACTTGTCCCACCTCCGGCAGAGCAATGACCCCATGCTGAGTGAATTCAAGGTAGGCCTGCCAGCCTCTGCCGCTCCTCCCACTGTCCACCCCGTCTTGCTCTCTGGGGGATTGTGACAGCCCCCACCCGGCCCCACTGAGTGCGCCCGGGAGCCTCTGCACCCACCTAACTCCACCCAGGTGTGCACCATGACTCCTTGCCCTATGGTAGGACTGGTTGTCGGCCCTGAAACTGCCCTGCCCACCACTCTTCTCTCCCTTCCCTTCCCCTCACCTTGGCTGACCACCGCTCCCCGCTGCCCCCAGAACCTGGACATCACCAAGAAGAAGTTGGTCCATGAGGGCCCCCTGACGTGGCGGGTGACCAAGGACAAGGCTGTAGGTGAGCACCAGAGGGCAGCAGGGGCGGAGCCAGTAGGGTTAGGGGTCGGGTGCAAGCACCCACTGGCCGTGCCCTCTCAGAGGTCCACGTGCTGCTGTTGGACGACCTGCTGCTGCTGCTCCAGCGCCAAGATGAACGGCTGCTGCTCAAGTCACACAGCCGGACGCTGACGCCCACACCCGACGGCAAGACCATGCTGCGGCCGGTGCTGCGGCTCACTTCTGCCATGACCCGGGAGGTGGCCACCGGTGAGAGCAGCCACGCTGTGGCCAGGGCAGGTCATCTGAGCAGCGCGTCCCTGTAGGGGGCCGAGGAGCCCACTCTGAGGGGCGGCTAAGAAGGGACCCAGTAGGCTAGCGGAGGCAGAGGCCGCAGGATGCGGCAGGGTGCGGCTGGAGCATAAGAACATAGAGAGAAACTGCGCCTGTTTGTTTGCACTGACCTGCCCTGGTGGGTGTTTTGAGGGGACACCCTGGCTGCCGCTTGGGAATTGTAGGGTGCATGGCCAGAAGCTGGGGACCCAGGCAGGAGGGACTGGCAGACATACTGCCTAGAAGCTGCAGCAGGGCGGAGGGCCGTGGGGGACCCTCGGTGGGGCACCTGGGGGGCCAGGGGATCTGGCTGGTTGTCTGATGGGATCAGGGTCTGTGGGAGCAGGAGGGACGGGGAGAGAGCATGTGGAACTGGGAGATTAGCCAGACGGCGAGGGGCGAATTGCATCCTGTCTGCTCAGGAAGGGGTGCATACTGGGAGGTCCTGGCCCTGAGCTCCTTCTCCCCTCCACAGATCACAAAGCTTTCTACGTCATTTTTACCTGGGACCAGGAGGCCCAGATATACGAGCTGGTAGCACAGACGGTGTCAGAGCGGAAGAAGTGAGTGGGCCCCTGGGGCCAGTGTGGGCGTGGGAGGCCCCACACAGGTCTGGAGGTGCTGACTGGCCGGGGTCTGGGCCTGTCTCCCCAGCTGGTGTGCCCTCATCACTGAGACTGCTGGATCCCTGAAAGTCCCTGCCCCTGCCTCACGCCCAAAGCCCCGGCCCAGCCCAAGCAGGTGAGCGGCAGGGGGTGGGGACCGGAGGGATGGGGCGGCTTCCTTGAGCATCCCCAGACCCAGGCCCGGCCCTAGCTCACTGTGCACGTATGTGTACATACAAGCCAGCCCCACACGGCCGCTGCCTCCTATCTCCGGGCCTCTCGGCTTTCTGCTGTCGGGGCCTGTGTCTCCCTGTGTCCTGGCCTCCACCTCTGTCTCTATCGCGTCTCCAGACTGTCCTGCCTCCCTGCTTCCAGCTCTCTGTCTCCCTGACCTGGCTGCCCATCAGGCCCAGGGGTGTGGAGTTACCCAGCACTTCCTCCCCACAGCACCCGAGAACCCTTGCTCAGCAGCTCTGAGAACGGCAACGGTGGCCGAGAGGTGCCTCCAGCCGATGGTGAGACCAGATGGGCACTGGGTGGGGAATCACGGGCGAGGGGAGGTGTCCACATTGTGTCCAAACAGGTCTGAGTTCCCTCCTGTTTGCCCACCCAGCCCAGACTGAGAGAATCCTCAGCGACCTCCTGCCCTTCTGCAGACCAGGCCCCGAGGGGCAGCTCGCTGCCACGGCCCTACGGAAAGGTAGCCCAGCCCTGCCCCTCCCAGGGCAGCCACCAGCCAGATGGTGCCTCTGTTCCAACTAGAAAAAGCCTCCCCATTTCCAGCCTCTTTTCTGTCCAGCCACCAGGGCCCACACGCACTGAGCCCACCCAACCTGTACCACCGTCCTGGGTGGCCCAAGCCCCTCTTCTTACTGCGTCACCATCCCTCCCTCAGCCCTAAATTCAGCCTTTCTGTCTGCGGTGCCCTCCCTACCCCATCCCACCCCTCCATCCTCCCCACCCAGCAGAAGCCCCTGCCTCTCATGACTCCATTCCCCTTGTCCCTGGCCAGTGCTGTCCCTGAAGCAGCTCCTGTTGCCCACGGAGGAAGACAGCGGGGCGGGGCCTCCCCGTGAAGGGGATGGGGTACCAGGTGGTGGCCCCTTGGGCCCTGCGCAGATCCAGGAAATTCAGGAGAACCTGCTCAGCCTGGAGGAGGCCGTAAAGCAGCTGGAGGTGTGGCTGGGGGAGGGAGCCCTGGGCACCGGTGGGGGAAGGGGGCCTCCCTCACTGATGACCCCTCCCCACCAGGAGTTGGAGGAGGAATTCTGCCGCCTGCGGCCCCTCCTGGCTCAGCTTGGGGGGAACCCTGTCCCCCAGCCTGGCTGCACATGAGGCTGCTGCCTGTGCAGGTGAGTGGGGGCTGCACTGGGTGGGGCCCCGAGGAGACAGCGCGGCACCTGTGCCTCACAGCCCCATCCGTGTCTCCCTCCCTCTTTCCTGTCTGCAACTCCTGCTGCACCTCTGGTCTTAATCTCTGCCTCTGCTTTCTCCACCTCTTCTTCTCCCACCTTGTCTGTCTGTCCATCTCTCCTCTTCTTCTCCGGCACCCCCCAGGCCTTCCCAAAGGAAGAGACGAACAGGGGAGAGGACGTGAGGGGGCCCCCCACCCCCACCGCTGCAGCAGCATCTCACACCCCAAGGGCCTGAAGAGAGGGAGCCAGGCTGCCGGGCCGCTGCGGTCCCTGCCTCCTGCACCAGCCTCACCCGGCCTGCTCTCCCTCCTGCCTTCTGCTTGGGGGACTCAGGGCTTCATCGCAGGGGTTCCACCACGACCCCCATCTCCCTGGCCATCTCAGTATTGCTTGTGGGGGCCACCCCTCCATCCCCTACCCCAAGTGCCTTTGCTGTTTTTATACCCTGAATTGGAGGTTTATTTTTTAATATATATTATCTAAGGAGAGGTCTGTGTGAGGGTGTGAGGGCGGGGCTTCGCAGCGTGTGTAGCCTCCTCCTGCCGACTTCCTGGGCCTGATGGCGGCTGCATCAGGCCGTCTCTGCCTTTGCCTCCTTTCACTTTGGCGTTCGTTCATTCTCGTGTTTTAACAGTTACTTCCCAAGCACCCCACCACACACACTGGGCATGATGAGGCACCCCCCCTTCCCAGCCCCACCTGAGGCCCCAGTCATCTGAAACATGGTGGGAGGGCACCAGTCTCACTTTCTGTTCTTTTATTTTTGTAGTAAACTCTCCAGAGGTGGCTGTGGGGGTTTGTGGGGAGCTGGTGGGGAGGGGGCCCTCCTGGGTGGGGGATGGGGGCGGGGTTATTGCTCTGAGCTCCCTATCCCCAGGGGGG